ATAAATAAATGGAGGATGGCGTCTAAACATTTGACCTGATATTTGACACCATTAAAGTCTGTGATCAAATTTAGTCCTAGAATGGGGAATACCCACTTTTCTTCTTGAGAATCAACATGGCTGTCCTCACTTCCGTGGGGCCCTACAGGCGGAAAGGCCCCGTTCGCCGACCCAAAGTCCAGATCATCCAACCCCGAATCAGGTCCTCTAATTTGGCCCAAAGAATGTCCTTTTGAGAGCTGCCTTCATCTCTTGGTTCCTCAAGCTGTAGATGAGTGGGTTGAGCAAGGGGGTCACGACAGAATAGAAAAGGGTCACCATCTTGTTGCTGCCACCAGAAGCTTCGGGGACGACATAGGTGGCCATGATGGAGCCGTAGAAAAGGCTCACCACGGCCATGTGGGAGGTACAGGTGGAAAAGGCCTTCTTCCTCCTTGCCACTGAAGGCAGCCTCATCACGGCTCGCAAGACTGTGGTGTAGGAAGCCACGATGAAGAGGAAGGGGCCAAAGATGGCGATCGAGCTGAGGCTGTAGAAGGCCATCTCGGTCCCAGGAGCTGGGCTGCAAGAAGAAGCCAGCAGAGGACCTGGGTCGCAGAGAAAATGGTCTAGGAGTTTGGGGCCACAGAAACACAGCTGGGAAATCAACACGATGGGCACCAGGAACCAGAGGAAACCACAGACCCAGCAGGAGGCTGCCAGAATATAGCAAAACTGAGGCGACATGAGCAGCGGGTAGCGCAGTGGGTGGCAGATGGCCAGATACCGGTCCAAAGCCATGGCAGCAAGAAGGAAGCTCTCGGTGGTTCCCATGGAAAAGAAAAAGTAGAACTGCAGGAAACAACCTTGGAAGGAGATGACCGCCGGCAACGGGGACCTGAGATCTGAAAGCATCCGAGGTGACGAGGTGGTCACGTAGCACATTTCCAACCCAGAGAAGCTCCCCAACAGGATGTACATGGGCAACCGGGCGAGGCGAGAGTCCCGGAGCACGGCCCACACGATGCAGAGGTTCCCCGCCAAGGTGAAGGCATAGCAGATGGAGAACAGACAGCACAGCAGGAGCTGAAGAGGGCGGGAGAGAGAGGGGAAGCCCAGCAGGACAAAACCATCCTCCCAGTTGGTACGGTTGGCTTGGTCCAAACAGTAGGACTCCAGTTGCTGCTGCTGCAGGAAATCGGCCAAGAGAGAAAAGATGAACTTCTCAAATGAAAACGTGTGATTGTTGAAGCTTGGCTGGAAGCCATGAATGGTTGCTTGGCTGTCCCTTTGCTTTGCCCTTTAACTGTCATGATTGACCATGTTGTGTCTCACTGCACCAGGACAAACACCTTCTGAGGTCAAACTAGGCCAACATTTCAACTGGAGACGGCAGGACACTAATCGCTCGGAACAGGCATCCTCGAAGCTGCTTTATTTGGAAAATCAACATGCAACATCGTTTTGCTCCTCCTGCTCAATTGCCGAACAGGAGCAAAGAAATCTGTAACTTTCAAATCTGTGAAAGTTGTTAGGGAATAACCATATGCTGTTTACTTTTTAAGTCAGCTTCCATTTGAATTGCAAAGCTACTCATTCATCTGGTTTTGTGCCTCGGTCTACTTTTGAGATTTGCTGTCACCACATTTTTTTCAAGAACCAGCTCTCATAATTACTGGTGTACAATGCTATGTTGCTTTGGGATTTTATTCAACTATATCTTATGGAAGCGACCATTGGTATAAAATCAACAACATTATTTTATTGGTTACATTGGTATAAAATCAACAAGCTTATTTCATGTGTTACAGCCATGTGATGCTGTGCATTTGACTCCCCCCATTTTCTAATGCATAATTTTTCATAGTTATATTGTGTCAACTGTATTGAACTACAGTGCAGAGCTGTGTACTAAACACAGAAATATCTATTCCTGTTTAGAAGATCAAAATGGCAATGCATTCAGCAGGTCAGTGGAAGCCAGCTCCCTTAAAAGACATTGGTTTTTCATAGTCCCAACTTTTCTCAGCTCAGCAAATTGCAGATTAGCTTGTCTTTGTTTTGCGATTGGCCAGTGAGAGGTAAAGATGGGCTCTATAGGCCAATATAAGTGCTTTGGCATAGGAGCTTTGAAGGAATGCATCTTTGGAGGGAAAACAATTTAACTGCTTCTGACTGCAAAGCCCATCTTACCTACCTATTCAGAGCTGTATTATTAAAACCACAGCTAGCAGTGAAGATGCTAGCAGTGAAATCTTCTTGGAGTTTTCATCCAAGAATATCTGGGGACCCAAGGCTGGGAATCATTGATCTGGAAGTTGTGGAAGGCTATACGGGCTTTGTGGGTAAGCAAAGATTTCAAGCTTGATTCTCAATCTCACTGGCCATCCATCCCACTTACAACGCAATCAGCAAAATTAAGATTCTGGGACCATATTTCCTATGCATTTATTTACAGCTTCTCTTCCTGGCACCCACACTGGCTACGTCACACACTGGAAATTGTAGTGCTGATGTGTTAATAGGAAATAGATGACAAACATGGTTTTGTTAACACTGATATCTTAAGGAAAATGTTAGAAATTTGGCTCATTCAAGTTCATTTCTGTTGCAATCCAGTGCTCAAAATTCTGATAGTTATCATTGCAAACATCACTTAAGCTGTGTAACCAATGGAGGTGAATTAAGAAATCATTAAGTTACTAAATCTTTATTTATTGCATACTAAGTTGCATGATTGGCTTGAAACTGATAACCTATATGGTCATTTCTTAACGTTGTCACCAAAAGTTACAACGCATGTGTTATATCTGGGCATAAAATTCCAGTAAGACATCCAGCAAATCAGCTGCTCCAGAAATAGGTGAACCCATATTTTGTTCACGTAAGGTCCCGAATTAAGAATGGGTTTTCAGGTTCACAGCATCTAATGTGATGGATCTCTGATTAGATCTTGGATGGAGTTTGGAAATTCTTTGTTAAATTGTAATTTTCTGGACCCAATTCCTTTCATGTTTTCAACAACAGTGTTAAAAAGTTATTTAAATCATCAGCTGCCAACGTTGTTATTTTTAAGTAACATTGAACATTTCATTTTAATGTATTGCTGCATGTTTCAGCAACTTTAAAGGGAAATTTTATTTTAATGATTCAATGAACGACTCACATTTTTCAAAATGTCTTAACATTCCAATGTTAACTAAATCGTTTTGACTATTCCATGTTAATACATAAGCACCGAAATTTTCACCCTCTAATCTAGCTTACATTCCTTATGTTCCTGAGAATGCAAAAGAGACTAATGTCCATGTAGGTTTTTTTTTCTTTTTTGCATTGCAGGACTTGAATTCAAAGTACTGTATTTTGTCAATACAGTGCTTTAAATTCACATCAAACCCCAAAACCAATAATCTAATAAGAAGGATTTCATCACATTCCTTACCACATGCTTGGAGACATTGAAGGCTGTCATCTGTCATATTACTTTGTTTCTCTTGGATCTACACCATGCAGAAATCAGAAATGAGAGGGGGAAAACAGAGTAATAAATTCACTGGACTGAATTATCTGCAAATAAATTTGTATAAAACTAAAGCAAGGAGCAGATGGGGCAACCTTGTTTTCTCCTGCTCCAAAGGGTAAGATCTAATCGAGTCCAGCCCCTATCAAGGACGCACAATGAGGAATCAAATTTACAACCTCTGTTTCCGCAGCCTGAGACATAAACCACTGAACTATCTAGCAGTTGATCAAGAAAGGAGATTTTGACTAAAGACAAGGAGGAATATCTGACAATAAGGACCATTTGACAATGGAACAAAGAAATTGGCTATATGGGCTGTTAAGCCTGCTGTTTGGAGCACTACAGCGATGGGTTGGTAGATTATTAAAGACAGCAATCAGATGATGTATTAGCTAGAGTGCAGCAGCGCTCACCTGGAGCATTCCTACCTACTCCTTTCTGGCCCCTGTCAAGGGGCTTCTGCTTTTCCGGTGCAGGGAGCAAGTCCTCCTCTTTCAATTTTCCAATATTGTGAGGTGGCTTCACAATACTTCAGAATACTGGAAAATTAATTGCATCTCTTGCTCAGCAGGCGAAATGGGAAAAAAATTTTTTAGCCCGCAGCGCCACCACGTCCCTCACTGATGTGCTATAGCAGTTATCAAAAAAAAAATCTTTGCCTCAATTTCAGGGTCCAGTTGATAAACTGTTTGCAGTCAAATCCATGGTGGTGGCTTTGGCTGCAGGCAGTATCTCAACCAGCCTTGTAAGAGAAGGCAAATAAAATATTATTTTAATTTTTAAAAAATAATAATTGATTCAGCATGTTGGAAATAGTCAACATGCAGTCAAAACTGCCCTGCCCCAAATTCTCCAGCCCTCTTAAATAAAATATTATTTTAATTTTTAAAAAAATAATAATTGATTCAGCACGTTGGTAATAGTCGATATGCAGTCAAAACTGCCCCGCCCCAAATTCTCCAGCCCTCTGCCAATCAGTGGAAGTTATTAATTTGCCAATATCCTGATATGACTCACTGATTAAACCACTTCATGATATTGGCAAGACCCATTTCTGTGTGAATGGTCAGGCTTGATTAGACTGCTCTGTCCCCCAGTGGTCCATGCCAGCTCGCTCCTTACTCCTTGTGTAACTGCACCCTAACTCAGAAGGCAGTGGACTCAGTTGGAAATTTTTAAACAGAAGTTGGCTGGCCATTTGTCAGCATACTTTAATTGTGAATTCTTACAATGCTAGGGTTGTGATTTCCAGCTCGGGAATTCCATGATTCTAATTGTTTCATGCCTCAGGTTAGCTCAACGTTTCTCTGGATTCAAGATTTTTCTTACTCAACTTACATTGACCTTTACATAGTCGTTCATAAGTTTGCCAGAAAAATGTGGAAAGTTACTTTTAAAAAATTAGTTTTCTCTTTCTTGTTGCCATGTTTAAGAAGGCATTCATATTAGTTACTTAATACACCATTATAAAAAATCACTTTGTGTAATACTCATTGCTTTTTTTTTGCAAGTTTCTTTTTTGCATTTAAAGGTGACAAAAATACTTCAGTCCTTGTAACAGAATGGCATTTTGCCCAGCCAAAAATGTTAAGCTTTGAAAAAAAAAATACAATGTTTACAAAGTGCCTAGAAAATGTCATCTGTTACATCAATAAAACAGCTTTATGCTCAGACATTATATTACTTTTAAAATGTTGACTTTGTTACACCCTTAACCCTAGAAGTAAAATACTGTATTGTAGATAGTTTTGTTACTGCACCTCCAAAGGTTTGGTGTTTTTTCTTCCCCTTTTTTTGTTATGCATCCTTGAAGTCTGTTTTTCCTTTCCTTCAACTTTTTTCAAAAACCCAGAGAACATCTAACTTTTACAGCACGTAGCCTGTTTCCAACAGGTAGTAAGAAAAGTGGGCTGGAGGTGAGGAGATGATCTAATCGGACAGAGAAAGGGAATTTTGAAAGGGACGTTTCAGAAGTTCTAGTTTTGTCTCTCGAAAGGCAGTCAGATGCAGCGTTGAGAAGAGAGGACTATATGGGAAAGTTATTTGCCCATGATAAAGAGAGAAGAAGCAGGAGAAAAAAAAAATCCAGGGATACAAATCATGGCAAACATACCTGTTTCTGAATACTTCTGTGGAAGCACAATTACATCCTTAGCTCTCAAGGAGCTGGCTGGTTAAAGCAGACTGATATCTCAGTTCCACCAGCCAAAATCTTGGGAGATCTTTCTCTCCTGAGGCAGACGACAAAGGAAAAATATCCAGGGGTTGCCCATAGGTTCAGCAGTGAGTGTGCTAAGATGTCGCAGGGTGAGCAAAAGGAGGGAGGATGTTCTCTGGAAGTAGATTTTCTAGTATCTATTTTCTGTAACTGGGAACGAATTCCAGATGTTGGAGCATTTAAGCAGATATAATTGAAGGTTGCTGCTGTAACAGCTTTCTGCAGTCAACGTTGCAGCCCGTCTTCATTTAGAGAAGCCGGGAAGATGATGTAAGTCCCATCATCATCCCTGACCATTGGCTGAAGCTGATGGGAGCTGGAGTCCAGGCACGCCTAGCTGCTGTAACAGCTTTCTGCAGTCAACGTGGCAGCCTCTCTTCATTTAGAAAAGCCGGGAAGATGTGTGCCTCTCGATGTATGTCCTGTCATCATCCCTAACCATTGGCTGAAGTTGATGGGAGTTGGAGTCCAGCAACGCCTAGAAGGCCCCGGTCCCTCAAATGTTTCTTTGAAAGTAAAAAAAATGGCAAGCTGAATTAGTGTGTCGTATGTGTGGTTCCAACATGAACCACACATGAATCTGACCCAACTCCGGGAGGCAGTGGAAGACAGGAGGGCCTGGCGTGCTCTGGTCCATGGGGTCACGAAGAGTCGGACATGATTTAATGACTAAACAACAACAACATGTGTGGTTCACAACATTCACCACTGAAGAAGGCACATCTGGGACACGATGACCTGTGGAGCAGTGGTCCTCAACCTTGGGCCTCCAGATGTTCTTGGACTTCAACTCCCAGAAATCCTGGCCGAAGAGGTGGTGGTGTAGGCTTCTGGGAGTTGTAGTCCAAGACCATCTGGAGGCCCAAGTTTGGGGACCACTGCTGTAGAGGAATGAGGCTGCCCTCCAGTCTTGTATAACCTCTGAACCTAGCCCAGTTTTTTAGAACCAACTTGTGCACAAGCCACTTGAACTCTTTCTTCAGGAGATTCTGAACATTTTTTGAAAGTAGTTCAGTAAGGCACCATTTACAGATGATTATAAGAGTTCTAGATAACTGTGTTTTAATTTTGATCATGGGCTTATTCTTCAGAAGTATCTGTATTTCTGATGCTTTTGAGTTATCAAACAGTGGCTCTCAAATGCTTTAGATTAGAAATTTTAAAAAACCACAATGTTTTGACAACAAATCTAGAGCAGGCTCAAAATACAGGAACCCCGTATCGGCTGGATCGGTATCCGCTGATTCACTGATCCACAGTTTGAAAATACTAAAAACATTTTTTAAAAAAATCCTAAAAATATTTATTTCCAAAGATGAAGTTACCAGAAACAGGCACTAGAAGGTGCCAGAGGCCATGCTGTGTATAACAGTCACTATAAGAATAGTGTTTGCTATTATCCGAGTTTTTCAGCATCCACAGGTGGGGCTTCGAACTGACCCCTCACAGATTTGGGGTCCTACTATACATTTTGTGTCTCTTGATGTGCGCTACATTTTCCTTCCTGGCGCACAGTTGGCACATTTGAACATATAGCCTGCTTCCCATTAGAGCCCTTTAATGCAGCTGCATCAATGCACCCTCACAGTGATGTGGAAGAACTGAATTGAATTTGAATTCACTTTATCGTCATTGCACTTCCGTACAACAAAATTAAATGCCATTTCCAGTACACATAATAATAAAACACACAAGAACATAGCATCCATTACATGAAAACATAGCACGTTGCACATAAAAACACATCCCTCTCATTCACATCCCCATCCTTCACTTTCAAAGGAGAATTAGCATGGAGATTTCGGGGTCACAAAAAAACAGAAGCAGGACAAGAGTTTTTATGGGGGGAAAGGGGGGGCTTCAAATCCATCCCAACCAACATAGCCCCATAGATGTTTGACTCCTGGGCCCAGATAGGGGGCACATCACTCCCCCCCCACACCAAATTTGATAGCCATGGACGTGTTTCAGGAGCAGCCTTCAAGAGATGTTGAAGGACCCGAAGAATTCTATGCCTGTCTTGCTTCTGGAGGCTCTGCCACTGACACCCCTTTTGCTTTTCTTCTTCCAGTGCCTCTGCTAGGTTGTTCAGCCTAGCCGCTCAGGTCCAGGCTTTGTGAGTAAGTGGTGATGGCACACAGTTTTACAACACATGGAAACATTTATACACGTTGTAAACTGAAATGAAGAGGTTCTTCTCTAGCTTCTTCTATCACAGGCTCATGCATGGAAAGACATACGGTACTTGATCACACACAAAAAGTACAGTAATCCTTTGATCCCATCCTTATTAGAGTTTTTGCAACCTTGCATATTGCCTTTAGAAGGTGTGGCTGGGGGGGGACCTTTCTGGATTGGGGCAACTGTCAGTCTATCCAGCACTAACCAATTGTTCCCTTCTGCCCCTGAATTCACAGGCAGCCTTGACTCTCTTCTTTTCTGCTTTGTTTACTTATAGTTGGAAGCAGAGAGCCAGTTTGAGGCCGGTTGCCGCAAGCAGCCATATTCTGTAAGTTTGCTGTTTAATCTGTTCAGAACTGTAAGTAAAGGAAATGCTTTTTATTTTTTTCTACTTCAAATGGCTCAGAGTGAGTTATTGAGACTGTAAATGTCACTTGATGAGAAAAAAGGGTGATCTACTCTGCAGAACTTGAAGCTATTCTGCTCTGTGAATCCCTGCACTTCTGCTGCACAGCTAGAGGAATGTAACCAGGAATTCAGAACTCTGCAACAGTCCTGTGGGTTTGCTAGTTTAGGAATTGGTCTAATACAGTGGTGCCTCACTTAACGGCGATAATCCGTTCTAGGAAAATCACCGTTAAGCGAAAACATCATAAAGCGAAAATAAAAATCCCATTGAAACACGTTGAAAACCTTTCAATGCGTTCCAATGGGCTTAAAACTCACCGTCCAGTGAAGATCCTCCATACGACGGCCATTTTGGCTGCCTGTATAGTGAGGAATCTGTCCCTAAACATAGCGGGGAGCCATTTTATTTACCCGGCGGCCATTTTGAAACCGCCGATCAGCTGTTGGATAATCGTTGTTTTGCGAAGAATCGGTTCCCAGAGCAGGGAACCGATCAACGCAAAGCGAAATTCCTCCATTTAGACCATCATTTTGCAATCGCAATTGCAATCACAAAAAGATTGTCTTAATATGGATTCGTCATAATGTGGGGCAATCGTAAAGCGAGGCACCACTGTATATGTATTTCAACAGTAACAATAAAAATAGTTTTTAAAAAGTGTACATGGGGATACTTTCTTATGGTAGGGTTATTTCTTTGTAATTTCTTCTCTCCTTTTATCATATTTTTTTCCACCCCAACTTTACTTCAAAATAAAACTCCAAGTGAAAATCAAAGTGTGGGAACAAAGAAAGCTGGAATTCATTGAGTATCCTTTGTAGGCCACATTTCTTCTAATGAGGTGGCTCACAACATTAACACAAGCAAAATTAAAAACACAATTGTTTATGCATTAAAAAGGAGTTAAACCGTAATGATAATTAAGAATACATTAAATGATTAAACATGAAAACCTTTTAAAACAAACTTACTATGTACCCAGGAGTGTACGCAGGTATTCGAAATTACTCATCCTTCCGCAATCTCTGTGGAGATTTTTGTTTTGATGAGAAGTGGAACTATCCTCCTTAGACCAGTTCTCCAGGGCCACACCTTTTCTTGAGGGGGAAAAAAAAGCTTCAGCAAGCTGCTTTAAGATAAAGACTCATACTCTCTGTGTAGAACTGACAGCCAACCTACAAAAACCCATGCCAATTCTTCTCTCTCCTCTACCGAGATCAACGGCAAACCCAGGACAGAATACAAAACAAGAGTATGTTCATTTCATGTGCTCAAGCTTTGGCTGCATCACGTTCCCGGCTGGGTGGAACAGCTTGCTCTGCAGTACAGAGGTTCAAAAATATCGCCTTCCTTTCTTATAGCTTCTTAGAAGGGACTGTGTGTTCCAAAATGCAATCTCTAATACAAATTATAAGGATCTAATAAATCCTCCTTCGCTGGAAGATGAGGAATTCGACTCTCTCTTTTTGACATGTATTACTGTTATTTTTACTGACATCACCTGTGGAAAGTGAGATGGGGGCAAAATGATGATCAGGCGATCTAGTGACAAGATGCTTTTTCCATACTAGGCACCATGAAATTTTTAAAAGAAGATTTATTAATGAATGAATGAAGGCTAGCGTTGCCTCATAACTTCTGCGCTTTCCACATGGATCTCCTCAACGGGACAGTGCAGGAGTTTGTTCTGCTCGGCTTCCGAACGGGCCAACAGGGGCGCCTCCTGCTCTTCACTTTCTTCGTAGCAGCATACACCTTCACGTTGGTGGAGAACTTCATCATCATCATGGTCATCACTCAAGATGCTCACTTGGCCCGCCTTCCTATGTACATCCTCCTAAGCAACTTCTCCTGGCTGGAGATGTGTTACGTGAGTGCCACCATGCCACGGATGCTCTTTGACTTATCCTCGCCAGGCGGGGTCATCTCCTTCCATGCTTGTTTCCTCCAGTTTTACATCTTTTTCTCCCTGGGCACTAGCGAATGCCTCTTCCTCTCAGCCATGGCCTTGGATCGGTATCTGGCCATCTGCCACCCACTGCGCTACCCACAAATCATGTCCAAAGATTTCTGCCACAGCTTGGTAGCTGCTTGTTGGGTGGTTGGCTTCCTATGGTATGTAGCACCCGTGGTTTTGATCTCCCGGTTATCTTTCTGTGGTTTGAACACCATTGATCACTTTGTGTGCGATTCTGGGCAACTCCTTGCCTTGGCTTGCCCGCCATTGGGGTACCTCCCTCTCTTCTGCTACATCGTCACTTCTTCTATTGTCCTGGCCACTTTCCTCTTCATTGCTGCCTCTTACGCAAGCGTCATTTTCACCCTGGTGAAAACATTCAGCCAAAGTAGCGGCATCAAAGGCTTTTCTACCGTGTCTTCCCACCTCGTGGTGGTGGCACTTTTTTACGGATCTGTGGTCGCTATGTACATCGGAGGACGCAGCGGAGAAAGACACAATGAGAACACCAAAGTGATGACTCTGTTCTACTCCACAGTTGCCCCGCTGCTGAATCCTCTGATTTATTGTCTCAGGAATGATCAAGTGAAGGAAGCATTGGCCAGGCTTTTGAGAAGGAAGAGGGTGGCTTAAGCAAACAAGGTGAAAAGGGAAGGACTTTATATGGTTTACTTAATCACCCCTTTCCTTCTCAAAGGCACCCAATAAATGTTGGAAATTATCTTCTTCTTGGTAGAATACAGCCAAACAAGAGGATGGGATATGCTGGGTGAGTCAGCTTTCCTGATGCATTTTTGATATTTGGTTATTTATTTTATCTTTGCTCTTGCTAGTGCTTCTGCTCCCTTTCTCTTCCCTCTTTTCCTCATAATCTCACTTTCTTCTTGTCTTTTCACAGCTACTAAACTGTAATTCCAGACTGTGGCAGCACTGGCCACATCACCTTGAGTATCTTTAGATGTGCCTGCATCTAGTTCTGGAAGACAAGGGAGCCTTGAATTTGTCCATTCCTCTAGAGCAGTGGTTCCCAACCTTGGGTCCCTGGATGTTCTTGAACTACAACTCCCAGAAATTCTGGACAGCACAGTTAATGGCGATGGCTTCTGGGAGTTTTAGTCCAAGAACATCTGGAGGCCCAAGGCTGAGAATCACTGCTCTAGTGTGAAATGTTTGATTGCTGTGCATATAGAAAAGGTCTGTGATGAGGTCAAATATGCAAAAATGGCAGCAGTTGACATGTGCTGTGCTGGCTGATGGGAGCTGGAGTCCATCATATCTGGAAGCCCGCAGGTTCCACACATCTCCTTTAACATTTTCAAGGAGAGGTCTTCCACCTGCAGAATGGAGACTGCAGAAAAGGTGTCAGTGAGCATTTTTGTAAGGTTCCAGAAGATAATTAGAACTTAGCCTGAATGAAGAATATATATTTAATCTTCAGCATACAGCTTGTGTGTTAACTAGGTAGAGCTTGACAGAGAAATGGTCAAAGTGATCAGGTAGGTAGTGGAACTTTAACTTTTCACTTATTCTCATAGAATAAGTAATCATATGCAAATATCCAATGGCACTTAAGGAATATAATAAAGATTCATTTAATATTAAGTAATTCAGTTTACCTAGGGACGTGGTGGCGCTGCGGGCTAAACCGCAGAAGCCTGTGCTGCAGGGTCAGAAGACCAAGCAGTCGTAAGATCGAATCCACGCGACGGAGTGAGCTCCCGTCGCTTGTCCCAGCTCCCGCCAACCTAGCGGTTAGAAAGCATGCAAATGCAAGTAGATAAATAGGGACCACCTCGGTGGGAAGGTAACAGCGTTCCGTGTCTAAGTCGCACTGGCCATGTGACCACGGAAGATTGTCTTTGGACAAAACGATGGCTCTATGGCTTGGAAACGGGGATGAGCACCGCCCCCTAGAGTCGAACACGACTGGACAAAAAAAAAATGTCAAGGGGAAGCTTTACCTAATTCAGTTTACCATATATTTCTTTAATGTTGAGTAAACCTCTTGCATGTTAGTGCTACATTGGTGGGAACCTATTAAAGGCAAATACAGGGATGGTAAATTAATTTTGAAGTCTTCTATTAAAAATCCAATAAACATTATAAATTAAACACCATTCTGCACGAGGTGAGTTACTTGTTTTTTTCCCTGCACTACCAAAATACATATTCTATTTCCTTATGCAGTCCAATAACCAAACATTCTTATTACCTCACATAGTAATACCAAAGCCAGCAAAGATTGCTTTCGTGCTGATAGCCATTATGGTCTAAAATGTAATCAGCTAAAACAAAGACGAACAAACCCAGAGTGCATACTTCAGATAATTACTTCACAACAGTTGTCATGCAATAAGGCGTCACCCTATCATAATGGGTTTAAAGACACAACAGACAGAAGCCACAAGTTGTTGCTGTTAAACAAGAACAGAACAAAAGGAAATTCTTGACCCTGGAAGACTCACTTAAGTCCAACACCTAGTGTCTACAGTATGTAATTACAACATCCATATACAGTACATGTCCTCTTCCCCAATGTATTTTTCATAGTACTGTAGCTAATACGCATCTGTGTGGACATAATTATGATCTTCCCATGGGATGCCTGCGAGACTGGTCAACTAATGTGCTTAGAGAAGGGTCCCTTCGCTGGGCATTTTCAAAAGCCAATTGAAAACTTGGCTGTATAAGCAGTCACTATTTGATTTATGTTTTTTCTTTTTTCTTTCCATTTTGAACAATTAATAATTGATGCTATATTCAAATTGTTTTATTTTAAGTGTTGTCAGCTGCCCAGAGTGGTCAATTGATCAGATGGGCGGGATATGAATGAATGAATGAATGAATGAATGAATAAATAAATAAATAAATAAAGGATATATTCTTGTGCCACATCAGCAAACAAATCACAAAAATATTGGATTAAATCCAATTGTTCATTCCAGTTTGAGTAGACACATTGAACCAATGGGACTTGCAAATGTGTTGACTTCTGTGCATTCAGTCGGTCTGTTCTAGGCAGGACTAACACATTGATTTACTGCATAGACACCTCTTCATATTATTTATTTATGTTCACACCATATTTCCTCCAAGTGTTTCAAGGTGTTTCCACTCCTCTATGAAGAAGCTCAGGGCGATCTGCATTTACTTATTTATTTACTTTATTTATTTATTAGATTTGTATCCTGCCCATCTAGACTACGTCTACTCTGGCCGGCTTAGAGTAAAAACATGAAAATGACATATAAAGAATTAAACGACGGTTCATTTACAATCCTGCATTTACTGCATAGACACCTCTTCATATTATTTATTTATGTTCACACCATATTTCCTCCAAGTGTTTCAAGGTGTTTCCACTCCTCTGTGAAGAAGCTCAGGGTGATATGCATTTACTTTATTTATTTATTAGATTTGTATCCTGCCCATCTAGACTACATCTACAGTACTCTGGACGGCTTACAGTAAAAACATGAAAATGACATATAAAGAATTAAATGACGGTTCATTTACAATCCTGCTCCAATTGTATGTATGTATGTATGTATGAACGAACGAACGAATGAATGAATGAATGAATGATGTGCCACCAAGTTCTACTACATCTACAGTACTCTGGACGGCTTACAGTAAAAACATGAAAATGACATATAAAGAATTAAATGACGGTTCATTTACAATCCTGCTCCAATTGTATGTATGTATGTATGTATGTATGTATGTATGTATGTATGTATGTATGTATGTATGTATGTATTAATGAATGAATGAATGAATGAATGAATGAATGAATGAATGAATGATGTGTCACCAAGTGACCCTTGGTGACCCTTTCCAGGGTTTTCGAGGTAGAGAATACCATTCCCTTCTTCTGAGGACACCCTGGGATGGTCCAACTTGCCCATGACTATGCAGGCTGGCTCTACGTGCAGGAGGCACAAGGGGAATGAAATTTCATGTCTGGCTCTTCAACCAGTTACCTAAAACACTGAACTTTCCGACCTGCTACTCCCGTTATACCCTTACAAAAAAAGTAAAGTTGGATGAGAGATGGTGATTCTTTCTGATCCAGCTGAGGGATGGCAACAAGTTTATACATTGAACCAGTAGGCTCAATGTAGGAACAATGGATTCACTTTGGGTTCCCAGTGGAACTCTCATTTTGATGAGTTCAGCACATTGGATAGCTCCAGTAAGGTTTGTTTAAAACTAGGAGTGGAATCACTGAATCTGTTAAAACAGATCACTGCCTCCATTACACGAGTATCTTTGCTAAGTTGGATTTAAAGCTCTCTCTCTCCTCAGTCCATCTCCGGCATGGGTTGTTATCTCCTTCCGGTACTCTGGGGTTTCATGAATTGTGACCTACAGTTTCCATGAGCCTTACCAAGAATGGTGAATGGTAACAGACTGTGCATCTGGAAGACCAACATTTCACCATCATCTGGCTTAAGCCATTCGTCTTGCTTGTCAAAATGGCCATCCTTTGGAAGAGGAAGACTGCCAGAAAATACAACCAGTTAACATGTTTTCCCCAGAAATTCTCCATCCATTTTTGTGGGAATTAAATGGGAATCATTTGATGGATTAATCACTTCCTCTATTCTGTGCAGAGGTCAAAGAAGTGGGGGGGAAAAGAGACTACGTACAGCCAGCCTGCGTAGTCATAGGGCACTGAATTTGTGCTGCATCACTTTAAAAACAACAACAACAAATGGAAATCTTCCTCACAGAAACTTTTGTTTGTTTTTTCTTAAAGGTCTAGTTGAGAGTCTGCATGATTCAGTCACAGCAGGCCCTTCTCTTCAGGAGAAAAGTGAACAAAGGAAACTTTCCATTTGTCTTTTTTAAAAAACAAAAATGATGCAGTGCATATTTGCTACCCTAATACATACTTAATTCCACCACCCCCATTTCCTTGGTTCAATGATCTCTGACACTCTCTCCCTAGATGTCGAGCTGGATAAACACATTGTCAAAGCAGCTGCCATGTTCTCTAGACTCACAGAGAGAGTATGGCTCAATAAGAAGCTGACGGCATATACCAAGATCCAGGTCTATACAGCCAGTGTCCTGAGCACACTCCTGTACTGCAGTGAGTCCTGGACCCTTTGTGCATGGCAGGAGAGGAAGCTGAACACGTTCCATATGCATTGTCTCCGATGCATTTTTGGTGTCACCTGGCAGGACAAAGTTCCAAATAGAGTAGTCCTAGATCGAGCTGGAATCTTTAGCATGTATACATTACTGAAACAGTGACGTCTATGTTAGCTTGGGCATGTTGTGAGAATGGCTGATGGTTGGATTCCAAAATATCTCCTGTATGGAGAATTAGTGCAGGGAAATTGCCCCAGAGGGAGACCACAGCTGCGATCCAAGGAGATCTGCAAGCGGGATCTGAAAGCCTTAGGAATGGACCTCAACAGATGGGAAACCCTGATATCTGAGCATTCAGCCTGGAGGCAGGCAGTGCATCACGGCCTCTCCCAATTTGAAGAGACCCTTCTCCAGCAGGCTGAGGCAAAGAGGCAGTTACAAAAGCATCAAAATCAAGGAGCTAGACAGGGCACAGATTGTATTTGTCTTCAGCGTGGAAGGGATTGTCACTCTCGAATTGGCCTTCTCGGTCA